GCCCTGGGATTGTGAGGAAAACGGCAGAGAACCCTTCTGAGGGAGTGAAACTTCTACACTTTTAATATACTCTCAGAACTTGTAGTGTTGATTAGTTGCATATACGAGGGTTTTCGTCGAGTCAATGAGGATAGACCCATAGCGCAAGAAAGTGGAAATCAAACGACTGCAAAAATTTGCCTCAGTGGTGATGAAACTACAAACAACTGTTTCTATGTACATATTTTTTGATTTTACAAGCCGCTCATGAAAAATGGTCCCTAATTTGATGCTTACATGGTTCCCATATAGTATGCTAAAACCGTTCCTATAGAAGCGCCCCACCTCCCGAAACACCTCCCTAGCAAGTAATGAAATTTGATAAGACTTCACCACAAATAACTCTGAGCTCCTCAATTAAGGGACAGTTCTAGATGATGAGATGACCAATCAAAACAGAGCTGAACAATATCTAGAACTTGTTAAACGTGCCTTTGAAAACGTAAATTATGTCCTTGAATGGGTAACCAGGTTCACGATCGCGAATTTTGGGCCACTTTTACGAATAAAAACAAGTGACAAGGGCTCGGGACTTGCAGCCAGGCAATGCGTGCTTCAAGTGTTTGTGTCTCAATTGTCCCCTATGCTTTTTCAAGCCCGGAATTTTTCTCCCAGCTCTCTGTTTCTCTTAGCTTCCCATTGTATCCCTACGCTACAGACTCATTCTCCACCCAAAGAAAAAGACTTTCATCTCCCGTGTTTTGGCCTTTATTCTTTTTTGGTTGACTACCGTATCAATTCGTACCCCTCTTTCATGACCAGCGCAGGACTATGCGCAACCTGATTGGAAATGTGCACTGGCTGGTGTTTTCCTCGAGATTACAAATTAAACGAATCAAAGCTAATTTTTGCACTAGCGCACCTTTTACATTCTGCCGCTTCACGCCTAATACGTTGCAAACTGAGTATTGATTGATAGCCAATGTCGGCCGCTGAATTTACTTGTTTCCTTACGTAATCAACAGTTGTATCTCCAATTTGAAGCGCGCCAAAAAGAACTTACCGAAAAGCCGCATTTATTATCGACGAATTCGTACTTTCCTGAGTTGGAGACTCAAACCTCTTCGAATCCGAGAGGATTTCGGAAACCATCGCAACAGCATCCTCCATTACAGGAGCATCAACTACCGGAGGGCTAGCTGCAGAGGTGATTGTATCGTCGTCTGTCACTAAAATACGAGAAATAAAAAACCACCCCGTTTTGTCTGCCATTTTGCCTGACCTTCAATTACACAGTTCTTCGCAAAATTGTAATATTTATGTGCTAATCGCCGCTTTTGCGTTCCTCTGATTATGACCCGCATTATATAACATGCGCGCAAACCCGCAAATCAGAAAAGCAGTAGTACTATACATAGGAACCCCACCCATCGGCTTAGAAACGGGGAGGTAGTTCAGTACAGGTGGCCTTCTATTCGGAAAATGATCTTATATTGTTGGGAAACAGGCGTAAACAAAAAAACAGACAGATTTTCATTGAGCTGTCCAGAAAAAGTCACAAACGAATTGGAAATGCTATACGAAGTTATTACGATTTGTCCCTGAGGTATGCATCTGCGCAGAGGTTCCACGAATGTATTTCATACAAAATATCCAGGTCTATGAACTCATCAAATTTAACCGACCGTGAACTTATTTTCGCTCCATTACGTTGCGTATTTGGTTCAACAACAGAGGACTATTCAGAAAAGCGCTTCACGTCTTGAAAAATGGCCCCTCGCTCTCCTAGTGTTAGTGAGCAACCCTATGTAAACTGCTTCCTTCTATATTTCCAGTGAAAGCTTGTGTGTAATGACAGTCGAAAACAATTTTTCTTACTTAATAGCTCTTCAAAAGAGCAAGCAACTCGTTGTAATAGCCCCACAGATGAAGATTCATTACTTCATGGTCAGTAAAGAAGAAAACAGCCACTGGAATCGTAACAGCAATTGATCAAAAGAAAGCGCTTGTTGGAGTTCAGCAAATGTGACTGATTCAGTATTGAAAGTGGGCAGAAAAAGTGACTCTTCTTTTACTCCCTCCCCGTATGAATCGAAAATTGCTCAAACATACATGGCGCTTCCTATTTATGTTTCGCGTAGGAAACACTATATAACTTAGATAACTAACAAGTTCGGGCAACTTATCGCCTTATTCATCTTTTTAAACCAAATCACCGCAGGCATAATGTGACCTTGTTTCAATTCCTCTCTTATCATTCACTCGCGACCCGAACACACAGAGAATGGAGCAGAAATGTGTACATAAAAAAAGGAAAATAAAAAAAATAAAAAGATTACATGGATTAACAAAATGTGATTGTAAAGAGAGCATGAGAAATAGCGCATGTGATAGAAATCTCGAAAACTAGGAAAATGAAAGCGATGACAGAAAAGCACAATGTGGGTTCATTACAATTCTTCCCTGATTCAACAAACGGAGGAATAGCAACGGCGAAAAATGAAAACGTGCGATAGCGTTCACGAGAGTGAAAAAGAGCGGACAAAAGGAAGAAAATACAATATTCAAAAATGTTATAGTTGAAGAGTAGCGACAGTTAGAATCAGGCAAAGAAAAAAGTAATAGAATTATAGAGGCGAATTATAGTCCGAAGAATCAGCCGCATCAAAGAAGATTATAGGGAAAGCAAATAAACAAAAAAGTGATGAGAAGGAGAAGCTGGCAAAAGGGAAAGACTACGAAATAAGCGGTGCAGATAAGCGACGAGAACGAAGCAAGTAAATAGAACGAATTGGAAGGATATGTAGAATGTAGATACTGAGTGTAAAAGTTTCCTTGGCGAAAAGTTCGAAACTAAGAAGATGAAACGGTATGTTTAAAAACCAAAATTGAAACCCGAAATACATCAACCCGCCATGCAGAAGAAAGTATTGTGCAGTAATTGGAAGACAATGAACAGAAGCGAAATTGGACGTTGGAAATAGCGAATCAGAAATGAAAATGAAATCTCACGTTTAGGTGGGAGACATCTCGTGCAATCGCTAGTCTGCCTAGTTTCCCAATTTTACTAGGAAAGAAAGCTCTGGTGTGAGGACGGAAACGAAAGTAAAAGTGCCTTTTATATAATTTATTCTGGTTACTTAAGAATGAAATCATCTCTATTGTTATCCAGAGGGAGACAGCTCCTCCCGTGTGTAATATTGGGGGCGAAACGATTCACACGCGTCAGAAGTGTACTTCTTCTGCAAAAAATCTATTTTCTGTGGACGGTAGCGACCCAAATTGGATTACTGTAGTCGCCACGTACTACTGCATCAAGGATCCCTTCCTGGCAAGCGCCTGGAAAAGGTGCTCAAGTGCTGTGTCGCTGAAGCGGATTGCGCGCATGAATACAATTATAAGGAAGTACACAAAGTACTAGGCTGTTTGCATGTCCCGAGCCGCTTCACGCTAGTCGAAAGGGTGGGCGCCGAACGCTCCTCCAGCGTCACTCCGCCCACTCTGCTAATAAACCGAAGCTGAAGGAATCGATGCTGTAGGTAATAGGATTGGAATAAATGAACAATAACCATAAGCCGAGTAGTAGAAATTATAGGGTTCGAAGAAAAACTGTTTTCAGAATGAAGTAGGTTCTGCTCTTCGCACTTGCTCAACGGAGAAGTGTACTATGGCGGAATTCTCGATGGAGGAAAGGAGAGGAAAAGATTCCGAGAAACTGATTGAGGAAGCCATGGCAAAACAGGGAAGCAGATAAAATGTATGAAGATGCAAAAATAGCAAAACTGCTATCAGACAAAGGTCAGCGAACAGTTTTCAAAGGCTTTTTGTCAGTTTCGGGATGTTACTTTCTCCACTAAACATGTTCGAAGTATAATAGTTGTAGCTGATGACATCTCATCCGATTATGGGATTCAAATCACTTCCATGTACAGACTCACAACACTCTGAGCCACGATTTGCTTTCTAGAGCATGTTTCAGAACGGAACAAAATTAGCACGACCGTGATTTGAATACTGTTCTATCAGCAACAAAAATAATGTCAAAAACTTATTATTTTAACCAGATTAGTCCCCCGTCAACCGCCGGGACCTTCCTTTCCTGCGCAAGCTTTCTATCCTCCGCTATGGTCCCTTCCTCCTGTGACACCAACACCTCGTGGAAGTGACGCGTATGCAACACAATGGTGTTTCATACAGTAGAAGGGACACAATCATGATATGACGGTAGATTTTTCGCTTCCCCTCATCCTCCCTTCCTCTCTCCACTGCCCTCCAGCTGCCACTGCAGCACCATGTGGAATGAACGGAAGTGTGCTAAGCAGGTGTTTTATATAGCCCTAAGAGTGTTATCACAACTATCCTGCTACAAAACATTGATATCTCAAATCCTGTAAGCTACCCGATTTGTTAGCGGTTTGTTTATCCCATGAGCTTCCTTCTCACTCACTTCATTTTGCGGACGGACACACACACATACATACATACACACACACACACACACACATACAGATACACAAACCGACACACAAAGTTAGCGCTTTATAATAATAGAAGATATGTTATAAATAA